CTTTCTTTCTTTCTTTCTTTCTTTCTTTCTTTCTTTCTTTCTTTCTTTCTTTCTTTCCTTCCTTCCTTCTTTCTGGATTTTAGTGGCAGGAGGAACAGGAGAGGCTGAAGGTTCCCCACCCCTGGAGAGAGGATAAAGAATTGACCTTGGAACCAGGAAGATCTGGGTTCAGGTCCCACCTCTGGCACATACTGGTCGTTGGGTAGAGCACCTAAACTCTCCAAGCCTCAGTTTCTTCATCTGTAAAATGAGACAGGTTGAACTCAATGCCCTGTAATATCCCTTCCCATTCTAATCTATGAGCCTATGATATCAGAGGATGACCCCATCTAAGGTATTCTTCCTCAGCAGTCATCTAGTCCCATACCCCAAAAGGAATACTATTACAAAATATCCCCCACCCGGTTGTACTCCTCTTCTTAAAGACCTCCACTCTCTGCAGAGGCAGCCCCTTCCATTTTTTGATAATTCTAGTTGAGGCAGTGGATAGAGAGCTGGCCTGTTAGACCTGGATCCAAAGCCTGCTTCTGATGAAGATTGCCCGGGTGACTTTGGGCAAGCCACTGAACTGCTAATGATAGAAAAGGTATAGACCTGAATTGGTAGAGAGATTTTCCTTATCTGGGAGTTCCCTGTACCAAAGAAATCACAAATTCGGTTCCTACCCTTTTCTTTCTATATCACCTGTATTTCCCTCCCTTCTCCCTCCCAGAAAGCCATGCCTAATAAAAAAGAAGAAGAAGAAAAAGATCAGCAAAACAAACCAATATTTGTAAAGAGTCTTTCATTCTATGCAATGGTCCACACCCATGGGCCTCTCTCCATCTTTGCAAAGACTGCTGGCTAAGTTTTAACCACTGGGCACCAAAGCCAGTAGAGCCCAGAGGAGTTTGGGGGTTTTTGTAATGTAGCAACAGAGCCCAAACTCATTAGCTTGGCATTCAAGGCCCTCCACAGAATGGTGCTGCCTTTCCTTCCTCCCATTCCTACCCTCCACTCCCTAAAACGCTCCAGGATCCCTCTAGCCAAACTGGCCTCCTCACAGTCACCTCTGTAGTGCTCTTCACCAGTGTCTACCCCTACAATGCCCTCTTAACTTGTCTTCTCCATCATTCTCTCTACATGTTGAAATGCTACTCATAGTGTAAAATGCCAAATGTAAAGCCTTCCTTTACTGTTTCCCCTTTCCCCAAAGGTAAATGCCTGTAGTCGCTTTAAGCTTGTTTCATTCATGCCTCACAATGTCTCTCTGGGGTAGGTGCCATTATTATCCCCATTTTACAGATGGGAAAATGGAGTCTCAGAGAGAAGTAACTTGCTCAGGGTCACATAGACAGTAAGACAGAAGAATGTTTTCTTTCTCTGAGTTTGCCTAGTTCCTTGCTGGTATTTTTTTTCTAATAGCTGGTATTTTTGTAAGGTTGCCTAGTTTATAAACCATGACGTCAGTCATATAACTATTATTTGCTCTTATGGGTTATGGGAATCAGAAAAACCCAAGTTCTAAGTCTGAATCAGTCACTAAAAAGGGGCAAAGTCATTTAACGTCTGGAGCCTCAGTTTTCCTCATCTGTAAAATGGGGATAATACCTGCTGATCAACTTAATTCGTTTCCAGGATGAAATGAAAGCTTCCATGAAAGCACGATGCCTTCTATTTAACAGTGTGTTAGTATTATCCATAATTACTTTAAACACCGATAATATATTAATATCACTCACAAGAACAACTTCTGATTGTACACTGCCTCAAAGTTCACAGCAACCCTATGAAATAGGGCTCTTGTCCAAGCCCAGGGCATATTACAGTGCTTGGCATCTGGCAGGTGTTTAAATAAATGCTTACTAACTGACTGATCCCCACCTGGAGATTGCAGAGTTGGGGAGGGGAGGACCCCTCCATAGGCATTCTATAACTGCTCGAGGATGGAGCTCAAGTCTCATTCTTCCCATTTTACAGATTCAGAAACCGAGGTTCAGAGCAGGGTATAACAAGTTTGGAATCAGAGAACCCGGGTTCAAATCAAAGCTTGGCCAATATTTATTCCTTTTGACCTTGGGCAAATCCCATCACCTCTCCTGGCCTCGGTTTCCCCATCTCCAAAACGAGGGGTTTGTTTTTGATGATCTTTTTCTCCCAGATCTATATTCTCAGAGAGGGGCAGTTATTTGCTCAACGTAGCATTGTCAGATCTTGAACTCAGATCTGCCTCCATCAGGCAATAAGTATTTATTAAGCACGTAAGGTATGCTAGGCACTGTGCTAAGTGCTGGGGATGCAAAAAAAGACCAAAGACAGCCCCTGCCCTCAAGGAGCTTATGGTCTAATGACTCCATGACTATGGTTTCACCACCGCTCCACACTGCTTTTACTATACTGTCCAGGGACTTGAAAATCAGCCCCGTGTCCTCTAGCCCTGAAAATTCCAACACGCCAAACTCTGCTGGAATTTAGCTTCAGATCCGTCACATAGTAGGCTCTTAACGGTCAATCAACAAGCATTTATTAAGTGTTTACTATGTGCCAGGCACTGGAGATACAAAGGAGGGTAGAAACAGTTTCTGTTTTAATAAACGTTTTTCAAATGAACCCAGGATGGCCCAGGCCGAAATGCAAATGCTCAAGTTTTTCTTTTAGCCCCAGAACAGAGAACAACAAAGCCACACCCAGGGAGTGAGGCCAGACCAGAAAAGGGGTGAAGTGCCTTTGATCAGCTCCCTCCTCCTCCGACTCTGGGAATCCCAAACTCTGTTGGGAGTCATCCCCACAAGAAGCCCTTCCGTGGGCTGTATTTTCTATTCAAGTCTAACTATGTATACACATTGTTTCTTCGAGTAGAACATAAGCCCTTTGAGGGCAGGGACCATTTCATTGATCCCTGTTTCTCCAGCATCTTGCACAGTGCCTGGCATGTTTGGTCAATTGAATGGAATTGACCTCCCAACTGAGAACTGCCTGGACAGGAGGTTACTAGGAATACCGGCCAGAATTTAATGGTCTCCGACTCTGGAGCAAATGGCCCTTTAGAACAATATGAGATTTTACACTCGGACTGCATCACAGATCACTCTGGCTCCCTACTGTCTCGAGGCCAGGCTGGAGGATGGACGGAGGTAGCTCAGCCACCTTTGTCTCCTCGAAGTGCCAGCTGGTCTGGTAAGCTCACTCTGGCCAAGTTTCTCCTCTTTGGGTCCAAGGGGGCCCTCTGGCTTGGCCTGAATTTCTATTCTTCCTCTCCCTCTTCCCACTCTCCAAATTGGGTTTTTAGTCCCCAAAGCATGGTAAAGACGAGTAGATTGTCAGAGGCAACGAACTATTTCTGGAAGAATCTATATTTTATAAGCCCCTGGGTAGCTTCAACTAATTTCCATTGGTGATGTTGAGTGTGTGTGTGTGAGAGTGTGTGTGTGTGTGTGTGTGTGTGTGCATGTGCTTTTTGGCAGTCCCTGCCACTTCCCAGAACAAGATGACCGCTGCTGTTATTTTCCACGCATGAGATAGTCAAGGCTGGTTTCTCTTTAGCTCTAGGCCCGCCAATGAACGTACATTAAGCACAGTTTCTATCCTCAAGGAGTTCTCATTGTTTGTAAAATACATACACCTGCCCTTTCCCTATCTCAAGATTGTGAAGTTTATAGTGGAAGGTAGACCCTTCATACTCGCTCCACAGCAGCAAAGGTGTGGGGTACACCTGTTTGTGTGCTCACCCTAACTCCAAGCTGCAAGAAGTCTGAGCTGAAGGAAGAGAGGGTGCCCAGGGCTCCAGTCAGGGCACAGAGGAGCCAATGGGCAATGGAGGCTGGCATGCCTTCAACCGCCATAGGCACCTCTCTCCCGCTCCAGCTTGGCTCAAGCGAATGCACCCTTGATGCCAAGGCAGAGGCCCCAAGTTCAAAGTTGGACTCTGCCCGCTGGCTGCCCCGGCCTCGCCTCTCTGAACCCCACTCAAGTCTGTAGAAAGAGTGGAGTCTAGGGGGATCTCCAAAGCCTCTCAGCCTTAAAATCCCCTCGTCTATCTCTATTCCATCTCCTTTCTTTTTTCTCTCCTTGTCTCCTTCCTCCCTATCGATGTATTGGACTTGCTGGCTGGTCACAGGATGGGGCGTGAGGGGGAGAGGCTACTGAGCCCTGGACTGGAGAAAAGGCTTTGTCTTAGCCCCCCGGGCTGGGACATCTCCCAAACCCGACTGTCCCGGCGGCCTCCAAGGGTCTGAATCCACGTCTGGAATCATCATCCCGCCGTGGAGGAGGAGGTTTGGGTCTCCGCAGGCCCAAGAAGAGAGCTAGGGATCCCGGAGGGCTCCGCACCCCGGGATCCCCCGCACCCTCGCAGTCACCCTAAGCCCCCTCGGACCCCCACCAAGCCCTGGACGACCCTTTCTCCCATCCGGAAGATGCCCGTGTCTCACCTGAGATCTGAACGAGTAAGAAGAGGCTGAGCCATAGCAGCTGCATCGTGATAAGCTCCTGGGGGTGAAGGACACTCGGTGGCCCAGGTCCTGCCGGCTCCGCTGGGGCTGGGCTGGGCTGGGGGGGCGGGGCCGTGGGGGCGGGGCCAGAGGGAGGCCGGCGCCCCTTCCCCCTTCCCCCCGCCCATTGAAGGGCCAGGAAGCTGGGGGAGGATGACTTCGGACACGCGGGTGGCCTGGACAGGATTTCCACAACCCGCCCCGTCCACGAGTCCGCCCGTGGGGGACCGTGGGGTTGATCCGGCCGTGGCTCAGCCTCGCGTGGGGCCCCGACAGGTCTCACCTTCTTACCCTTTAGACCCTGAGTTTCCCTCACCTTCCCTGCATTTCCAAAGAGCTCACGAGGTTCCACCCAGCTTGCTTCCGACAGCTGCCCCCAGCCCCATCCCGTGGTGGCGGGATCCCTGCGTGGCCTGGGGGTCGTACAGCATCAGATGGGATGGGGTCTGTCCCCTGTTCCTCCCAGATTTTCCCTTCCAACAGGAAGAAAAAAAGCAGAGTTTGGGATCCCCCCTAAAGTCTTGGAGAAGGGGTTCTATTTTTCCTTTCAGATTGTGAGCAGAGAGCACCGCAATGCATGAACTATGAAGACAGAGCATGTTCAAGAGAGGATAGCTGAGCCCGTTTCAGGTACATTGTAGATGCCCTTCCCACTCAGGGACACTATGACCCCTGAGGTCTCTTCTAACCCAGTCATGAACTACAACGCTCACCAAAGTCCATAGAATGTGAGATTTAGACCTGGAAGGACCTTACAGGCCAGGGGATCCAAGCTTCCCATTTTATGATGGGGAAGCTGGTTGAGGTGCCTGAGGTCACACAGGTCACAATTTGAACTCAAGCTCTGACTCCGAAACCGGAGCTCTAGAAATGTCGAATGCTCTGTTCTGTCTCTATACTCTTCCACATTAAATGAATGATATAAGCTTTATATACATAATTAGGTATTAGTGATAAGCACATAATTAATTACACCAGGCACAACCTTTTTTCTGGTTCCTGAGAAGTTATTCTCTTTTCCCTTTGTTCTCCAATCGCTATATTCAGCAAAAATGTCTCCAATACCTTGTGGGCTCTCTTCTCTTCCTGTCTCCATACACAGATAATTAAAAGTTAATGATCTGTTCAAAGACTTTTCTGAGCAGCCTTGTATGTAATTGCTAAAAGCTGAAAGCAAACTAAATGTTTAAATAAATGATCATAATCCATAATCACAATGGAATGCTGTGATGCAGTTGAGACTGACAAGTCTGAGTAATACAGAGAAATCCAGAAAGATCTTTATGAAATAATGCAAAGGAAGGCAAAAAAAAAAAAAAAGCCCTCCAGAGAGAGTGGGCACCAACTTGGCTCATATGAGGAAAATGAATGAGAATGAATGACAAGAATTCTGATGGGGACTGAAAAGTGGTATGATTTGCTAGGTCTTGGGCTTAATTAAAAAATTAGTGTTGTGCTTATGAGAAGTGGCCTTTTGGTGATGGCAAGAGCCAGATCTCGGCGTGAGGAGGAGCTGGCTTCAGAAGCCCGGACTCAGCTGTATTGCCTGTGCAATCCTAGGCAGTTGACTTCACTTTTCAGGGCCCCAGGTGGTGACTCTTAGAGTTCTCTGCCCCCAAAGCAAGCAAAACCAAAAGCAGAACAAACTGGAAAAGCCACCTACATGTCTAACAATAGGGGGCTTCATAATTCAACTGTAGTCCAGTAATCTAAAGGAATCTTCTATGGACTGAGTCCAAGTTTTACAGAACGAATCCTTTTATTAAGGGGACTTGTTCTGTGAAGTTTGGATTCCGTCAAAGGGCCACCCTTGAGGATCTAGAGGGCCACATGTGGCCTCGAGGCTGCAGGTTCCCCACCCCTGCTCTAAGGCAATTGATTCGGGCAGTCTGAAGAATAGAAAGAAATCTGGAAGGGTCTTCTGCTGACAACACCAAGCCCAGATCCCTCAGCTGGAGACAATCTGATCACCTAAATCCCAGGAAGGGAGTTAATGACTGATAATGAATGGGTCAATGTGTGATCTTGGGGATTTGGAATCAAATCACCTGTGTTGGAATTCCCAGCTCTGCCCCTTAATGTTTGTGTGAATTTAGGCCAGTCATGACCTCCCTGGACCTCAGTTTCCTAATCAGTAAAACAAGGGCATTGGATGACCTCTAAGGTGCTGTTCAGTTTTAACTCTTAGGATTCCCTCCCAAAATGACTTTTCTATATTGGGACATGTACGGGGCTATCCTGGATGCCTCTGGTATAATGTGTGTGTGTGTGTGTGTGTGTGTGTGAGTGCGTGTGAATGCATGTATACTAGGGCACATCCTTAAGGATGACAAACCTCTGGCTACCCCTAGCTGGTCGTGTGTCACTCGGTGCAGAAGGAAGGGCTCAAGTGCTTTGGGGATGACAAAGCAGTTGGTGGCACATCAGACAGGGCACAGGGCTACAGCAGGAAGACTTGAGTTCAAATCCATCATCAGACTTGTCCTAGCTGTGTGACCCTAGGCAAGTCACTTAAACTCTGTTTCCTCATCTGTAAAATGGGGGTAATAATAGCACTTACCTCCCAGGGTTGTTGTGAGGATCAAATGAAATAATCTTTATAAAGTGCCTGGCACATAGTAGGTGCTTGTTTTCTTCCCTTCCCCTCTTATTGGCCACTGAGCAGGAAGAAGTGATGACTTGGTGGTTCTTTAAAATCCCTCTGTTGACTCCTGTTTTCCATCTAAAGGTTGCCTCAAGAGTAGTCTAGGCCGTTGGAGGGGAGTGGGTGAAAAAGCTGCAGCCCTCCTTCCCAGCCGCCCTAATGACTGCTCTGGGGGGGGGGGGCAGGCTCTGGGCCACATGAGCTGAGACTGGGCCAGAGGACCCCTGGCTGCCTCTTCTGTTTTAGATTTCCTTTCCTGAGTTGAGGTTACCAAACACAATCCCGAGATGGAGACGTCTAGTCTTTGAAGCCACCTTTCGAGTTCAGGAGGTTGGCCGTCCTGGGTCCTTGGCCAGGACTGACTCGGGGCAGGAGGCGTGCTTGGTGCAGCTTCACCAGCTGGAGAAGAAGCTCCAGCCCTGCCCCAGCTGGCCAGAACACACCCCAGGACAGAATAGAAAGGGGTGAAATGTCACCGTGCCTATTCAGCCGCCCTGAGAACGGCTTCTCCCGGGACTGATTGCCCATGCTTGTGGGACTTGTTCAGGTGTTTCTGTCAAGGCAGCTGGTGGGTGCCTTTCCTTTGTGTGGAGGGAATAAGTAAATACCTGTCCCATACCTGATTCATATTGTATCTTGAATAGCTTTCTCTTTTCACCTCTGGGGAGACCACAGGCATGAGGCCACACTGAAGCCTTAAGTAATTTTGCCTGGTGTCAGAGTGGGGCGCAATGAGCCGAAAGGGGTGAGGAGGAGCCTGACTCCCCTTCTAGGTGGCTGGGCTCTCCTGGGACTGACTGTGGTTTGGGACCAGAGAAGAGCGGTTCCCTTAGTAGAGAGGTGCAGAATACGGTGCCTTAGCCTCGTGGGCCCAGGAGTGGTTTTATTGTTAGAGAAGAGATACAGTAAGTGGCACATAGTAGGTGCTGTATAAATGTTAGCTATTAGGTATGGAGTATTTATATGTGTGTGTATGTATGTATGTATGTATATATGTAGTTTAGTCTACATATATATAGTATAGTGTATATAGAA